AGATTTTTTTTCTCTTTTTTTTTTCTCATTTTTAACTTGAAATTATGTAATTTTTGTTAGAAATTGTTACAAAATTGAAAAAAATAAGAGAAATGAAAAGAAAAAAAAAAAATTAAAATTTGTGTTAAAATAAGTAATTTGTAATATGCAAATGATTTTTAAGCACATTTCTATTGAATACTCTCGTGTAACGTTCTCATAACGCTCGAGATCTCTCCTCTTTATTATTGAGAAAAATTTCTTTGGAATATTTAATCCTTTAGTATTGTTCTTCTTATGTTAAAATCAATTACACACTTTCATAGAGTCTGTTCATTGAAGTCTCCCCACTCCCCCAAAATTTACAAGTTATTGCCATTACCAGTTAGGCTGCCTTCTAAGGTATTATATAGTATATGAACACTATCACATTGCGCTGAGTGCCTGGACATGTGGATGTGGAAAAAAATGAAATAAAAAGGAAAACAAACGGGTGGAGTTTGGAGCGATGAAGGGGTTTTCCGATATTTTAAGTGGCTAGAAAACTTTTGCGACAATACTAATAGAGAAGCTTCAGGAAGATTGGGCAGAAACTAAGTGATAATTGTCAACGGTATCTTGACAGAGCATTACAGGTTTCTGATTCAACTTAAGAGGCTGGATCCAGAAAATGAGGGTACTTGCGAAATTTTGACCTTAGCACAATTTCTGGGAAATTTTGACTGGAGAAGGGAAAGCTTTCAATTTATTCGGGTATTGAGACCACAAGAGGGTATTGTGGGGAAATGAGCGGTGCACTACCACACCACTCTCGATAATCTACAAGGTATTATGAGGTTATAAAAGTATTCACAGTCAATTCTTTCCTGTTACTCCCATTTACCACACTGGAGGACTCTCAAAATTAATTTTATAATATTATTTAGGAATTCTCTAGAAGAGTTACCAATTCAGTGTTGTAAAACCAAAAATAAATTATTCTCTCTATTTGAATTACATTCAAATAATTTGTATGTTTTCCGAAATTTAAGATTACAAAAGTTCGAAGTTCGAAGTTATATAAAAGTTCGAAGTGAATTATACGACAGATAAACTAAAATTTGCAAGAAGTAACAAAATTAAAATTCTATTTGCAAATTTTTTTTTATTGAAATTTATATGTTGAAATGTGGTTAAATATATAGAAGAGATAGAAGAAGAAAAAGAAAAAAAAATTATTTTCTATTGAAGAGGAAGTTTATTTGTACATATGTTAGAGTTGTATAGAAGATTATAAATTCAAAATTGAAAGATATAAAAGACGATTGCTTTTAATTTGACATTAATATTTGTTGTTGTTATTACTGTTGTTGTTGTTGTTGTTGTATTTCTGTTATATTGTTCATTTTAATGCTATTATTAAGTTTACATCACGGAAAATTAAAGATTTTAATACGAGTATTACAATTTTTCTTTAAGTTTTAATTAATTTTTGCACAATTCTTTGTTTTTTATTTTTTCATTTGGACGTGAATATAGACGCGTATATAATGAGAAAAAATATTATGAATTTTGTATGTGTGTAGCAATTCCATTTATTATTTAATTAATTATCATAATAATTGAATTTATTAAATGAAATTTCAATTAATTTAATTGTGATTAAGATCGTGATAATGGCCAATAATTTTTAAATCATGCATTTTAAGGGAATCTTGAATATTAAATGAAAATGAGGCAGCCTAATCTATATGAATTTCACCATGAATTTCAATTATTTCCTTTATTAAATTTTCAATAAGTTTCTATAATGTCTTCAAAATAATTTATATTTATCTTGAGTAATAGCTTATTATTTAATTATTTTGAAATCCCGGGGCCTAATACCACTAATCATGTATGAAAGAATATTTCCTTATAATTCGCCCTATTCAAGTTTGAGAAATGATTCTTCGAAAGTAAAATCTTTGATGAATTCTCGAATAATTAGTAGGATTTCCAAATAAATTTATTGAAAGTTTTATAGTAATTTTTCTTAGAATTCAATACTCAAAAAATATTTTATATTATTCTTTGAATATCAATTTTAAATTTTAAGGAAAAACAAAATGGTGCAACATTTTTCTTTTAAAAATGAATAAATTTTTTGCGAAACGCCCGTAATTCATATAGAAAAATTCATGGAAATTATTAAAATTTAAATGAAATTAATATGAAAAATATTTCTAAAATAAACAGCGCTTCTCTAACTTTTCGTTACCATGTTTGTAGAACGATTTATCTTTTCCTTCAAAATATGCTTCAGCTTCGGCGAAAATTTCCTCATTCGATTCAAATCTCTTTCCCATGAGATGCTCCAGCATCTTTTTGCGATCTGAGAACAGCTAATAATCGCTGGGGGCTAAATCAGGCGAATGTATGGCGATTATGGCAGCAATTTGAAATTCAACTCATTCATTTTTACCATCGTTTGCATTGACTTCTGACATGGTGCGTTGTCTTGATAAAAGAGAAGTTTTTTTTTCTTCGTGTACGCTCGCTTTTCGTCAATTACAACTTTCAATTCTTCAAATAATGCCATGTAATATTCGCTGTTAATAATTTTACCTTTCTCAAGATAATCAATGAACAATATATAATGGCTATCCCAAAATACGGAGGCCATAACCTTGCCAGCAGAGGTTTGAGTCTTTGGACGGCTTTCATCCGCTGATGTCCATTCAGCCAACTGTCGATTTGATTTAGAAGTGAAATGGTGAATTCATGTTTTATCCATTGTGACGTAGCTATTTAAAAAATTCGTTTTATTACGGTGAAATAAGGCCAGACATGCCTCAGAAATAATTATATAATTAAAGTTTTCTAAAAATTTTATTTCACGTCGTCTTCTCTATAGGAAATAGTAAAATTTTATGTGAAAATTCACGAAAAACAGCCTTAATAAATTGGATTGTAAATTTATTTTCAAATTCAATTGTTTCCGAACAAAATTCAAAGTATACATATGTGTGTATTTAAATTTTAGCTTTTAATTAAAAGATTCAATAATCAAGATTATTTTATTAATAAATTAAATCGTAAAATACTTCAAAATACACGAATGAATAATATTTTTGTAATAATGATTAAGATCTTAAAAAGTATGTATATATACAGCAATATGTAAAAATAAGATCCTTTAGCAGATTTTAACGATATTTTGAAATCCAAAAATGTAAAAAGAAATTTTCGCATATTTTATTGTGGTACTCTTTGAAACAAAATGTTAGAAACGGTATGAAAAAAATTGTTTTTATTTTTCTTACTCTTTTTTTTTTTTTTTTTTTTTTTTTTTATTGTAATATAATTTGTATATTAAAATGTTATCCTGAATGTATTTTTTCCTATTATCCTTAAAACATAAAGAATAAAACAAATTTTTTTATTATTTTTTTTGCCTTCTATTTTTATATGCGTTTTTCCTGTTAGACCGCAACAAAACGATAAGTTTTAGGTCTATGAGATTTTTTGCACTTGTTGGTTAATTTTTTTTTTGTTGTACTTTTTTGATTTTTTTTTTTTGTGATTATGTTTTCATTTTGTTATAGTTTTTATATTGTAGTTCTTTATTTTCCTTGTTTATTGTTAATATTCTCGTTCGCTCTCTCTATGTTGTATAACTTTACTTAAACTGTTTCTAATAGCATCATCAGCATAACAAAAAAAAAGGATATAATGTAAATGATGTATGTATGTATGTATATGTAATATATATATGCATATTTTGTGTGTATATATATTATATTTTTTAGTACAAATAATATGATTTGCAGCTTACTTTGTGTTAGGAAATAAAACCATAAGAACTTACCTCGTTTCTGGTGCTCGTGTGTGGTTGTCTTCATAATTGAAATTGTGCGAGAAAAATTTCAAATATTCTAATATAAAAATCTATTTTATACATCGACGGCTTATAGGACTAAAACCCTCTATCCAACATAAGAAAAATTTTGGGATAAAAATTTATACGAGTACCAAATTCATATTATCAGTAATTGAGCTGCAGTAATTCTTACAATCACAACATATTTGTTCAGAATAGCAGTGAAGGATTATTTTGATATTATTTCTAAATTATTCCAAAATTTTTAAAATATGGAATAGAAGTTTTCCCATAACCCATAAGCCCTCGTTAACATTTAAAAATTTTACATAACAAAGAAATATATACATTTTAAAGTGCGGAGATTTGTATATACAGTATTAAACCATGAACAATAAATAAGATAGTACTCCATAAATAAAGATTCTATATTGACAAAAAAAAAAGTAATTATTATACCGAGGTTTGTTCCGGGTCATTCAGCAGTTATGTTACAAAATTTTTCAGGCTCAAATTCGTTACAAATGAACAAAACCATACGATATTCTAAAACATGATAATTAAGGAGCTTAAAATTTTCGCGTAAATTCGTGAAAATCTTTACAAATTTTCACTAAATACAATTTGTCCTAATATTCTTTAGGTTTTATTTCAATACACCTTCAATAATAGTACAAAAATTTTTTCGAACAAAATTTTACCCCCTTAAAAATTGTGTTTTTTTTTTTTGTGATATTAAGGCAATATGATTTTTATAATCACTGCAAAGATGTTTTTATTCTGTGTTAAAAAATTAGGGTCACCGATTATTTATAAAATTCCTATTGCCAATCTGTGACATCTCATATCTGTATGTATATATATATATAAAAACAAGAATAAAATTAGAAAAACAAAAATGAAAGGGAAAATAACAACAACAACAACAAGAGGAATAGAACATTTGCGATTTAATATTATGATTCTAATGAAATGTTTTGCGATATAAAATAAATTTTACCACTAAATTTGATTGCATATTCCAATTAGATCGCAAGGACTAAACATCCTTTTTTTTTTTTCAAAAAAAATATTCTTATTAAAATTTTTTTTATTTAAATTTTTTCTTTTCCGATTATTTCTAATTTAATTTAATTTCATAACAATTTTTTATTTTCCAATTTAAAAAAAAATTTAAATAATGTTACCAATAATGTCAAAACATTTTATAAATTCATCATCAAGAAATGGTCATATTGATGTACCAATAACAGCAACAGATACAAAAACAACAACAATAACAACAAATTCAAATGATAAAGATAATTTATTTAAAATTGAAAATATTTTAAATAGAACAAATTTAGATTTAAATAGAATTAATAAAAAACAACAACAGCAGCAGCAACAACAAAAAGAAAAATTTAATTATGGTGTTTTTAGTGTTGAAAATATTAAAAAAGATTCAATTACATGTAATATTAATAGTGATGAATTAAATCGTAATTGTAATAATCGTAAAATAAAAGTTAAAATATCAAATAGTGATGGTTATATAAGATCAATATCATTTAAAAGTGATTCCAGTTGGATTAAATGTATACAATTAGCAAAAGATGTCCATAGTAATAATGTTATTATTGAATTAATTAATAATAATCAAATAAGATTAAGAACAATTAGAGAAATTAATGAGAATGAAGAATTATTTTTATGGTTTACAGAAGATATTTCAATTAAAATGAATATACCATTTTTAACACCAATAAATATAAGAGGTATTATAAGTGAATAAATTTTTGAATTTGATTTTTAAATGACAGAGTGACTAAGAAATAATGTAGAAATTTTTTTAATATTCAAAAATGTATGAGTGTCAGAAAGTGTAATAGAATCTGAATTACTTAAAATAATATTTTGATTTAAGGCCGTTTTTAAATTGAAAATTTTTAATACATGATACTTGTATATAAGAGTTTCTTATTTTTCACGGTTTATAGCTGTTCTCGGGATTAATTTAAGAAGTTCTTATTCATTTCTGTTCATTCTTGCATTATTATTTAAAATTGTTTTTAAGCTAAAAACGGTCGCATTAGGGCATATTCATAAACTCTCCAAAATATTAAATATAATTCAATTCGATGTGGAAGCAAGACATAGTCCGAAAACTCCACTTTAAAGCAATTATACTCAACAATATAAATTAACTGTAAACTGTTCATTGTTATTGTCAAAAAAATCCGGTGGGCTTTACTATTTCTTTTCCTGTTTATAATTTTCTCTTACTATTAATATTTCCTATTCTTATTTATAGAATAAAATGAAATAAGCGCCTATAAGTATTCAATACTTCAAAATTTCCAAATTTCTTTACTTGAATACTGTAATTTTTGATTTGTCGGTTTTTAGTCAAATTACTGAATCTAATACATCTGTACCTTTCTTCTTTCAATCAATTCCTATTTTTCAACCAATTGGTGTGCCTAGGAATAAATTTAATTGAAATAATTGGAATTTGTGGAAAAATAGCGTCCTGTTTTAAAAATAATTCAGTTTAATCATAATGATACCATTTCTATAAAAAATACTATAAAAAATAAATGCTATGACTGTATTTTACTGTGAAAAATTAATCCTACATTTTGCATCTTTATTTTTTTTTACAGGAAATAACTGTTATATTTGTCACAATTGCAAAGCATCATTTGAATATCCAAATCCTTTAAAAATTCATTTAGCAACATCATGTTCTAATGAATCACCAGATATATTATGGAAAAATTTAATAAATTCAATAAAAAAGAATGTTTCATCTGATTTACTATCGGAAAGTATAAATAATATAAAGCCACAAATGCTACTGCCTTCATCACAAGAATCAATAAATGCATCTATAGCAACAACATTACTATTTACTAGTCATAATCATGTTTTAATGAAATCACAACCAACTTTATATCAATATGATCATCAATCAGCATTTAAGAGAGTTACTCCTCCACCATTATCACAACCACCACCACCACCACCAACATCGCAAGTACCATTATCTTTAGCATCACAATTACAACAAAAACCACAACAGTTACCACAAGTGTCTGCGGTTAACCATATTCCTTCACATACTCCATTATTATTACATCATCAGTATTCAACTTGCAATTATCAACATTTACCATTAGTACGTAAATCATCACCATTGCATAGAACATTATTTAATTCTTCTTCATCATCTTCATCACCACCATCATCTACTTCATTATCTATATATTCAAGTTCTACATCTGTACCGAATACATTAGTTACAACATCACTATCACCATCATTATCAAATTCAACATTATCTTCATCATTGCATTCACATCTACAACATAATAATCATCATCATCATCAGATTACACCAACATCAGCATCAGCAGTAGCTGCAGCAGCAGCATTAAATGCAGCAGCACAAATAGAAACAATTGTTAGTAATATGGGAGCATCAAAACAAGGTCATTTATGTATATATTGCGGAAAATTATATAGTAGAAAATATGGCCTTAAAATTCATATACGAACACATACTGGTTTTAAACCATTAAAATGTAAATATTGTTTTCGACCTTTTGGTGATCCCAGTAATCTTAACAAACACGTACGTCTTCATATGCAAAGTGGTAATCTTAGTTTTCGTTGCCATTTATGTAATAAAACATTAGCAAGAAGAAGAGATTTACAGAGGCATATTGAAACCAGACATTGTACTACTGGTACTGTTGATGATGATACCAGTATACAATTTACAACTATATCATAGATTTTTATTTTTATTATATTATTTATATACAATATAGCTATTGAATTTTAAAGGGTAAATGGAGAAAAAATTGCGAAACTGAATCAATATAGATTTAAGTTTTTAAATAGTTGTAAGGAGATTATTTTTAGATTTTATGGAAGGCAATAGACCTATAAGCTATTGATTTAGGAAAATTGAAAAATTTTACATAATGTAGACTATGTATGTATATTTTTTTATATCTATAAAAATTTTTTATATTTGTATGTTGAATTTTTTTTCCTATTAATTTTAGAATATTGTTGAATAAGAAAATGGAATTGTAGAAAAATTATTAAATTATAAAGGATTTATATTTTATGATTTTTGATGGGGTTTTATTTTATTGCAATCTAATTCAAATGCAAATTAGTTATATTAAGGATTTCGTTTCGGAATAAAAAAGATTCATGAACTATTCAAGTTGATAGAATTTTTCCTGCTGATTAATATTGTTGTGTATACATGTTGGCTATGAATATTTAAAGCTATATAACCGGGATGTTCTCAGTTGTAATTGTGAATTAAAATTTTGTTGGCATAAAAATTGATTCATATTCTGTTTGAGTATTCGATTTTGTTTATTTTACTTGGAATATTGACAACATGTTTGAGTTTTGTAATATAAAAATGCCTTCTACGAAATTGGAGTACCTACCTATGAAGATCATACCAGAGTTTTCGTGTAGAAAATATCATTGAATATATAAAAGCAAGTATTGACAGTGAACTGATTTTCAGAATTTTTATTTCTCTCAATTTAAACCATTTAATCTCACGTTTTCCGAAAAACTATAAATATAACAATGGTCAATTAATGCTCAAATATATACTGAAAAGTTTAATAAACTAGATTCGATTAGATAATGTTCTGGCAGTTCCGCTTTATTCATAATTCTTATGATGAATGCTATGTTAAGCGCGGATTTCGATTCTTGTTTCTGTAGTTCAAATATCTCCGTCTATGTGCTAAAAAATAGGAGTTTGTCGAGTATATGATGCGAAACTTCAGTCAATATCTAATTCGTAAAATTGCCTACTTGCTTATGTGTTAACGGCCGAACAGTGACGAAATTGATATACTGCTGTTGCTTTTTCTACTAGAACGAAGCAATTTTTGCATGAGACGTTATTTCTGATGCAATCGCATGCATCCCAATTAGGTAATTTCCGGCTGTAATAATACGATTCACAATGTTAATTGTTAATCATCTCCTCTATGGTGAAATAACATACTAAACTATAGAGCTATTCAATGTGGAAATATGTAAAAATCTCATGTTAATTCATAAATGACGTAATCGCATAATTTTAATAGTCGCAATACAATGTTTTTACGCATTACAACAAAATTATTGACTAGCCCAAATAAATTTTGTAATTTAATTGCATTCGATTTCGTATATTTATCATCAATATTCTATACTAACTTTCCAATTACAATATTTACAAACAATAGAAATTTATGTTTGTTGGGCCACTATCAAATTTATTAAATAAGTTCTAATTCTTAACATAAACAAAGGCTACATTACATTCTAAGACCTATACAAATATAATACTGACAAGAATCTTTAAAAAATTTTACTTTACTTATAGGTGCAATTTACTTTTAGGTGATAAACCAATAGTCAATTGCTATGAATCACAAAATTATATTTAACGCGCGTGTTCATATGATTTGGATATAAAAGTATGAGCATATTTATACGGATAATATGTAAGGTAAAGAAAAGTAGTTTGATAATCTTTTGACCATAATAACAAAAATATGTATTTTTTTTTTTATTTTTTAAACGAAACTATTTGAGAATTCATGGGAATTTAATATGGGTTTTCTTATCAAGTTATGAGACATAACATTATATGAGTTGTTGCTATTGCAGTACAAAATATTTTATTTTTTGAGTGCATTATTAAAAATTTAACTGCCTAAAAGCATTTTGCATAGTGGATGTAGCGAGCCGACTTAACATTTTTGTTTCATATTATTTGTGGTTCGTTTCGCAATTCAATTTAATTTTTGTTCAATTTTTATGATCATATTTTTTTATTTTATTGCGATCCTCGGAGTTGAAAAATTTTTTATTTACTCTTATTTATTTATTGTTAGTTTCAAAAACAGAAACAATAAAATTAAAACCAATCCGATTAAATCACGTTCGTGATACTCATGTCAACTATATTAAACGACGACGACGAGAGTAGTATGTGAAGCGCGTGATGATGAAAAGAAAATTGAAAGTATATAAAAAAAATTTGGTGTGGTCAGCATATAACCGACCGCAATGTGTATTGAAGTGTTAAGTGAAAGTGTTATAGAATATTATAAAAATGTCTGTTTAATACTTCTTTCCATTTTTTGGGACATTGGTAAGCTTCTAGTTAACATACCTCGAAAAATGTAAACTTGGCTCTTAGTATAGTTTCGTTTTGTGCTACCCGAATTCCCTAAAATGCTCGCCAGTAAGTTTCGGTAACAACCAGAACTCAAATATCAAATTTCAAGAAATTCCATCAATTCTTTCGGTAGATATGGTAAAAAATGTAAAATCGGCCCCCAGATCAGTTTCCGAACCATGATCTTTCCAGAAACTTTATGTGTTCATTGTTTCAACATAAAGAATTTAAATATTAAATTTCAATTAAATCGATTGATTATTTCTCTTTATATACGTGAAAGCGTATATTTGGAACCGTAGTAAACCACCAGTTGTTGACACCTGATTCCTTTTAAAAGTTAGGAGGTTCCGTGGACGGTCGAATTGAGCTTATACATGAGATTTCAAGTAAATCTGTTGAATATTTTCTTCATAATGATCAAAAATATAAAGCAGGCCCGCTAAAAAGTGCAGTTCCCGAGGCTTGATATATCCCAAAAGTTGATCAATCCCAGTCGTAGTCGAAATAAACTTATATATAAAATTTCATCAAAATCAGTTTAGCCGAACTTGAGATACACTCGTCCACACATAAACAGACAGACCGGCAAGTTACTAAAAATATTTTATTTACACTTCCCTACCATGGAGAAGTACGTTCCCACTGAAAATTCGATTTCCAAAATTTGGTGCCATCACATAACCTACCTATTGTATACACAATGTGGTCGGTAAAAATAAGAGCATAGAAAGCAAAAATTTATTCGTAAATACAAAAAATCGAAATGGAAAATTACAAAATGCGTAAAATATATTTAAAAGTGTTCCAAAAGACAAAAAAAAAAGAAAAATAAAAAAAAATTGTAATGGAAAATTGCTTTTTTTATCAGTTTACTTTTTTCTTAATTTCGTAACTGGACGCTTGTATTTATTATGGATTTTTTGCTTACAAAGTAAGGCAACTATTTTTCATATTAATTTTAATAATAATTGGAATTTACACAATTTCTTCTTTTAGACTTCCTTGTAGAAATCATTTAATCTCTTTCAAACATATTTTGAGGCTCGTATATTGTACATAACATACGAGCAAGCGTTATCTGTCTGATTTGAGTAATATTCTGTTTCGGAATTAAGAAACAATAAGCTTTTCTCTTCTCATATGTTATTATGGAGATTACAAATTAATAACCATAAAAATAGATTAATAATAAAATATTTACTAATTGAAAAGATCAAAGTATTGAATTGAAAAGTTATAATTTTTCCTGAAACAAGGGAAAATACGGTTTTTAAAACAATCTACTACGTCACCTAAAATTTTTTTATTCATGCATCAAAATATATTGATTTATTGCATACCTTATGGATGAGGGAAAGAAAAAAATTCAAAGAGCATAGTTTTAAGCGGTTTTTAAAGGATACGGCTGGTTAACGTGATGGTGCGGATATGGAGAGCCGGTGGTATCACAACGAACGTACCCGATCTGAGTGAACCTTCTGATAGGCGAATCAACCTCACCGGAACTAACCTGACATAATGAATTGAATGATTAAGTGCGTGAGTTGACAACAATAATCATATTTTTTGATCACACGGCATTTTTCGTTAGCTTTCTGATCTTATAGAAATTTGAAAAAGTTTGCAGTTTAAAAACTGCTAGAATTTCAGATTTCTTCTGCTTACCGTCTAGAAAAAAAACGATATGAAAAATTAAAAAAAAAGTTGTTTTACATAAGGGTTAATAGTTTCAGTGGTAATTTTATAATTTCTATACTTAACAATGCTGTGACTCCTTAGAACACCGGTAACCGGCACACACTGCAGTATGTGCTGCCATATAGTGCACTATTTTCTTTTATACAGAGTTATTAAAATATTACCACCTTTCACACAAGCAAAGCAAACATTTAAAAATTTAGAATGGAAAAAATCTGATGTGATCAGCACATAACCGACCGCATTGTGTATTGTCTAGTTAAATGAAAGTGTTACAGAATATTATAAAAATGTCTGTTTAATACTTCTTTCCAATTTTGGGATATTAGTAAGCTTATAGTTAACATACTTAGAAAAATGTAAATTTAGCTCTTAGTAGAGTTTCGCTTTGTGCTACCCGAATTCCCTGAAATGCTCGCCAGTTAGTTTCGGTAACAACCAGAACTCAAATATCAAATTTCAAGAAATTCCATCAATTTGTTCTGTGGATATGGTGAAAAATGTAAAATCGGCCCGCAAATCAGTTCTCGAGCCCTGATCTTTCCAAAAAAGTTATATGTTCATTGTTTTAATACGAGGAGTTCATATATTAAATTTCAATGAAATCGGTTGATTATTTCTCTTTATATACACAAAAATGTATATTTGGCCCGTAGTAAACGTCTAGTTGCCGATGCCTGATTTCTTCCAAAACATACGAATTTTTGCGGACGGTCGAGCTGAGCTTATATATAAAATTTCAAGTAAATCGGTTGAATATTTTCTTCAAAATGTTCAAAAATGTAAAACAGGCCCGCTAAAAAGTGCAGTTCCCGAGGCCTGATATATACCAAAAGTTGATCGATCCGTGCCATGGTGGAAACAATCTTACATATAAA